AGGTTCCTCTCTGGCCATTTCTCTAACCATGTCCAGGTCTCTCTGAATGTTGGGAGAACCACCTGCTGTATCAGTCACTCCTTTCAGTTTTGTATCATCTGAGAACTTACTGAAGGTGCACCCTGCCCCATTGTCAAGGTCATTAATGAAGATGTTACACACTACTGCATCCAGTATTGACCCCTGGGGCATGCTTCTGGTCACTGACCTGCAGCTAGACTTCATGCTGCTGGTCACAACCCTCTGGACCCAGGCCTATAGCCAGTTTTCAGTCCACCTCACTCTTTACTTACCCAACTCCATACTTCATCAGCTTGTCTGTGAGGATTTTGCAGGAGACAGTGTCAAAAGCCTTATTAAAGTCAAGATAAATTACGTCCACAGCTGTCCCCTCATCCACGGAGCAAGTCACCTCATTGTAGAAGGCTATCAGGTCAATCAGGCATGTTTTCCCCTTTGTAAATCCATGCTGAGAAGAAGGTGATTACCTTCATGTGTCTGGAAACGGTTTCCAGGATTAGTTGCTCCATCAGCTTCCCAGGGGCTGACGTCAGGCTGACTGGCCTGTAGTTCCCTGGATCCTCCTTCTTGAAGACAGGAGTCACATTTGCTGTCTTCCAGTCTTCAGGGACCTCTCACGATCACTATGACCTTTCAAAGGTTATTGAGAGTGGCCTCGCAATGGCATCAGCCAGCTCCTGCAGCACTCATGGTGTGTCCCATCAGGGCCTGTGGACTTGTGTGTGTACACTTCATTTAAATGCTCCCTAACATGATCCTCCTCCAGCAAGGATAAGTCTACCTTGCACTGGACTTTCTCATAGTTTTCATGGACCTGAGATTGCTGAAGGCAAGTCACACCAGCAAAGACTGAGACAAAGGCGGCACTGAGTCACAGAGTGTATCACCCTTTTCTATGTCTTTGTGACCAGCTCCACTGCATATTCAGCAGCAGGCCCACATTTTCCCCTAGTTTTTGTCTTGCTGATGTACCTGTAGAAACGTTTCTTGTTGCTCTTCACATCCCCCATCAGATTCAAATCCAGGCGGGCTTCCTAACCCCATCCCTGCAAGTTAGGGATTCCTCCTGCGTCACCCAACCGTGCTTCAACCTCTTGTACACTTCCTTTTTATGTTTGAGTTTAGTCAGGAGCTCCTTGCTCTTCCATGCAGGGCCACTGCCACCTTTGCTTTGTATCCTGCTCATTGGGATGAACTGTTCTTGAGTTCAGAGGAGCTGATCCCTGAAAACCAACCAGCTATCCTGAACCTCTCTTCTCTCCAGGACTGTCTGCCATGGGATCCCTGAAAGCAGATTCCTGAGCAGACGAAAGTCTGCCCTCTTCAAGTCCAGAGTTGTGATTCTGCTGTTTGGGGGTTTTCCCTTCTTTTCACGATCCTGATCTCCACCGTCTCATGGTTACTGCAGTCAAACCTGCTCCCAACCTTTACATCCCTGACCAGTTCTTGTCCATGTCCTTAAAAATAAATTGGGTAAGAAGAAAAAGAAGGGAAAGGAAATGAAGAAAAGGGAAGGAAAATATTTTTATGTTTCAAAATTAAATATTATGTTCCTGGTAGCCTATAAAGTAAGAACAATTATGCAAATGTTCATTGAATTACGTTTCCAGATTTTTATTAATTCTCAGAATTGGTGGAAATTCTCAGAGTTGGTTGGAAAGACTGGTATTGTTGGACAGATCAGAGAAATTGTTCTTGTAGGAAAAGCACTGGCAGTACAAGCCTATGATTTTAGTAATGGATTCTACAGATTCAACTTGTTCAATGTATTCTGTTGCTCAGTGAACATGATATTACAATTAGCTCAAACAGAGTTTTGTGTGACCATGACAGGAACAGGTTTTGCCACTGTAACTCTGAAAGGGTAGAGCTTTGTGCTGTGTAAAAGAATGCAAGTTTCCTGTGTGGGTCACCACAATACTTTTTTCTCATCTCTCAGTTGCCCTATTTCAGTCTGATGTTAATGATCACTTTGGCATCCTGCAGAGTCACATATGGAGACCAGGACAGATGCACCACCTGTTCTGCTATTACATTTCAGCTTCCTCCTGAGGAATTAAGGTAAACCACCCCAATTTTCTTGTCCAAATGCTCAAAGGACTTTTGTTTTTAAGTCAGTGTGTCATTGACATAGATCAAATGCACTGTATTGCTTTTATTGACGGTGCTTGCAGTGAAAGAGAGAAATGCATTCTGTAAATTGTCCCACTGCAATTACACATGTCTATCCATTTGCTACATAAGGAAATTTAATTCCTCACCTTTTTCATCTCAGTCAAGACTAAGTTGCTTACTTATATTAGTTGATGTGGAAAATGCTAGATAACTTCACTTGCTTGTGAAAGCAAGATCCCCTGTCTAACATTGACCTACCAAGCATCCGTCACAGAAGCAGTTTAATCACAAAAGATAGAGTTCTTCATGAGCTATTGTCCTTGCTTAAATGATTTTGTATTCCAGAAGGCTGATTTAGGACATCATTCCTTCTATGTATTACCCTTCCGCTAATATGGTCTGTTGTTTGAAATGATTCCAAACTGCTGGGAGGAAAGCTGTATTGACGTTCAGGGAAATTCAGATCCAGACCTGGACTTTGCAGTTAACTGGACTTCTAAATTCCAAGTAAAGCAAAGTAAAAAAAAGCAACACTTAAAAGCTTGTGATGGGAATATTAAGGAGCACATCTATCTGAACGTGAAACACAGCGCTTCTTCCAAGAGACTGATGATGAGAAGACAAAGAACAGAAAAGAAGAACATCAAGAACAAAGGTAAAGTCTTAATAATGGGAAAGATGTATGCATTACTGAATAAATAGTCTAACAGATTTCATGTCTGAATTAGAGGTTTGCATTTGTATGCTAAAAATTTTTCTTTTCTATCCTGCTGTTTGAAGTTGGGAAGGATGGGCAGTTCAAGGCATATTAAATTTGGAGACTTGCAGCTCCAACAGAGTAAGTAAAGTGTGATCTAATAATTTCTGTTGGTGCCGTATCAAAACAGTCATCGTATTTGGACTCCTCTTCAGACATAATCCTGAGTTGTGACTGATCAATAAGCCCCTACAATGAGAGAAGGCTCAAAGGAGATGGGCAAATGCAGTGTACCTGTGAAGCATGCAGTGACTGCACATGGCTGTCAGAAAGTTGAATTTAACATTAAGGGGACCAGAGAGATGATACCTTTTTTTAGATTTAAAGTTGTATCAGTTGAGTGGATCAGCTGGTTGTGTAAATTTTTGTCCATGAGTTAATCAAAAGAGTGGGAATGTCTTCCTGAGGTAGCCAGACCAGGATGGGGGGAGTGTATACGTGACTCAGCCTAACAGAGTACAACTGCTGAACAACTGACAAAAAGAGCTTTGAAGAGAGCAACAGGCTTGAGCTGCTTAAACCCACATATTCCTTCCTGGTGCCACTCAGCGTTGCGACGATGAGCATATCATAGAGCTTAGCAATGAGAATCACATCTGTATTGCGATTCAGCTATGTATTGAAATTGTTATATTCTGCTAAATGTGATTTGCACTTGTGTTGTGCTTTCAGCATATAGCTGTATCATTCTGCTAAATCGGAATTTCATGCAACATCAGGTATCTTCAAATAAGTAAATTTGGTATTAAACATTAAATTATCCATGTGTGTAATATTGAAAAGGACCCTTTCAGACAGTATTGGACTCTGACATGAGTGCAGGCTGAGGTAAACAGACACTGCAGTTCAATCTAAGTTGTATTTTTAGAGCTGATCCCATTGAGAAAGCCTCACCTTTCTCACATTTATGTTCTTTTTCTTCTTGTTAGATTCTCCTGTTTCATGTACTACCTGCTGGAGTATTGCAGTGATTCTAGGGATCCTCTTCTTGGCATTGCTGGGAACAACAGTGGGTTTTATTATCAAGGGTAAATAAATGTCCTCCATTGAAAATATTTGATTTGAATTTAGAACTTTGTCAGGGAGCAAAACAGAGCTCTTGAAATCTCAGAGGTCCAAGGAGAGCATGGAAGTACCTTTTCTCTCTTAAAAAAGACTTGCTTCTTTTTTCTGAGATTTTTAAATGTTAAACTTGGTCTAGTTAGACCTGCCCTCAGCAGGAACAAGAGAGTAAGGGGTAGAAAGTATCAAAGATGCCTTTGAAAGGGGTGACTGGGTAGACTTCAGTGTGTAGCAAGCACGCTGTGTTGTGTGCTCAGCCACTCAGGACCATTTACATCCTGACAAATACAGCTCTAGGTGGGAGGACATAACCTGAAGGCCCATTTCTTTTCTGTTGATTTGGAGATCAATGCTGCAGAGCGAGAGAATGAACGCTGAGGTCTTCAGTGACCAACCATCCATGGGCCAGTAGCACCAGCTGCTCTCCTGTTAGGAAGGAAAAGGAGGGTGCTTCAAACTGCAAGACTTCCATGACTAGCAGCTGTTATAAAATGATTCCTGTTCCTAGGAAGTTTAAGCCTTTTGACCGGCTTGCCATGAAATGTTACGAAGCTGGGGTTCAGGCAAGTATAGGAATCAGAAATGCTGTTCGTCCAAAGCAGCAGTACTTCAGAAATGGGCTACAGATGTGCCCTAGCAGCAGCCAGCGCTAGCGGTGGGGGCTGTATGGAAATGGGTGACCTGCCACAAACCTGTCAGGTGCCAAGGCTTTGCCTTTCCCGTTGGATGGAAGGAAACATGGGCCAAAGAGGAAGTTTATATGGAGAAGGCAGAACAAAAAGGGGAGGGAAAAACAAAAAGGCAAAAACACTGGGAAGGAAAAGGAAGGTCCCAAGAGACCCCTACATGCTCTCCCACGTGTTCCCGTCTGGCAAATGGATGCCCTTTCACAGAGCCCTTCAGAGACTCTGGTGTAGGTAACTACATTGTCTTTGCCAGTCTCAGAAGAGCTCCAGGGATGGCATTACAGTAACTGTGCAGAATCATTTTCTGGAGAAGGTGTCTTTGTGAAATGTGTTTGTAATGAACTAGGCTATGACTATGAATGGGAAGAGAGACGTACGATTGTTTTGCAGGCTGTGCGTGTCCACGCTGCCCTGAGCAGTGGGTGGCCTACAGAGAGAGCTGCTACTCCTTCTCCAAGGAGAAGAAGGACTGGAATTCCAGCCAGGAATTCTGCCGGGCACAGGGAGCTCATCTCCTGGTGATCAGCGATACTAGCGAAATGGTGGGTGCCTTTGCAGTGGCAAGGGCAGAGGGCCTTTGCCATGCAGGATGGTAGGATTACAGGGGAGCAGGTCCAAGGCACTGTACTGCCCAGCTCTTCCCCTCTGTGGGGAAAAGAGGGTGTGAAGGGACTTTGCAACGCGCTGGGACCCACCACCACCTTCCTGCATCTGGCAGAAGCAAGGCTTTCTCTTGGCCTCTTTGCAAGAGGGACTCAATTCTCTTTGCCTGCCGGCACTGAGGTTGTCGTGGGCTCAGACCTCAGACCCCACAGTCAGGGGAGCTGCCTGGTACTCCAAAATGCTGAGTGTCACAAAGCCGGTCCCTCTAGGAAGGAAGGGCATGGGTGTTCAAAGGACATTGAGAAATGGCCCCCAAACTCCCTCTCTCACACAGCGACCCTTTCTTTCCCCCTCAGAACCCAGGACTTGACTGGGTTTCTTCGAGTCCACTGATCTCTCTGCCTCTCCGTCCCTCCTAGGACTTCTTCCAGATGATGCAAAGTGAATTGTACTGGATTGGTTTGAAGAATAGCACTGGTGGTGACTGGGCCTGGGAAGATGGCTCAAAACTGAGTGGCAAAAAGTGAGTATGGTATTTCCTCTGTATTTTTAGATAAAGGGCTTGGGATCCTTCCCCTGCCCTTAACCCTTTTACATGAAAAGTTCCATCTGTAGTTGATGTAAGTCGACCAACAACAAACAGAGCTGCTAAGGGATGTTCAGAGTGGCCACAGGCTCTAGCACCTCCAGAACTAAGGGGTTCCTCCTGCCTGGCTGCTGGACCCCAGTCTGGTACACCCAGAGACCTGGGAGTCTCTATCCCAGGCTGATGGACACAGCTGCTACTTTCCTGTCTGCGGGTTCAACCAGTAGTAAAGCTGAGCCAGTATCCCAGAGACACAAACATGGACACAGACACACATGCAGGTGAAGGACTCTGACACAGCTGGCTACCACAGACAAGGCACTGCCTTCAGCAGCACCCACATATAATGCCACCAGAACTCACATAACGCACAGCTACAGTCAGAGAAGTCCCCTTCCACCTCTCTGGCTGCTCAGGATTGAACTTGACTAGTGAAGACACATACACGACACCCTCCAGGTTCAGAAGCGTGCCCGCACCCACTCAAGGATTCCCTGAGCGCCAGCACGGACCCTCTGCCCACCTGGTACCCCTTGCCCAGACCCAGGGCCTCCTACTCGCCGGCTAGCGCGACTCAGAGCTTGCTAGGGAATTGCAGAACCACAGCCCACGCAGCCGAGGCTGGGGGAAGGCCCACCCGTTCCCCCCCCAGCAGCCGGCACCCCGGCAGCCACCCACGGCCCCGCTCCAGCTGCCGGCGCTGAGCCCCTCGCCCGCCCTGGTCCCCCCAGCAGCTACACCCGGGACACACACCCCCCCACTGGTGCCGACCCCGGGGCTGGGCTGAGCCCGTCAGCCACCCCAGCACCCTGGCACCACCGCCTGGGGTCCAGCACCCCGCTCCGAGCCCAGAGCCAGCACCGTGTCCCCTCGCAGGGTGCCCCCGGTTGCCGGCACCTCGTCCTTACAGCGCTGGCACACACGGGGCGGGGGGCGAGACCGCAGGGACAGACGGCAAGGGAAGGGCTTGAGGAGAACCGGGACGGACCGCGGTGGGCAGCGGCAGGGCTGGGTCAGGCGAGCGCGGACCCGCCGTCGGCAACTGCTCACACACGACCCACACCTCGTTAGACCCTCTCCTCCCTGGTCGCCCCTTGCCCTAAACTTTCCTCAACAAGTTCTGCAGAGTCCCACAGCCCCCCCTCGAACCTCCCAACTCCTCCTGTTCCTCTTGTTGGCCCCTTCTCAGCCATTACAAAGCCCAGGGTGTCCCTCTCCAAAGCTGCACCTGGAGTTTCTTAACGGCCCGTCAGTCTGTGGCTGAAGACTTCTGGTCTTTGCCGTTGCCTCCGCTATTTCTTGTGCACCAAGTTTGTGTCTCTGTGGGTTTCTGTTTAATCATTTCCTCCTTCTTACCCCCTTTTGCGTTGAAAATGTCCTTGACTAGATAACCTTAATGAAGCAGAGGCTTTCACTTTCCATGAACCCATACAACAGGTTTAAACTTGAACACTTGATACTTTCTGTCCCAAGGTCTCCAAATGCCTTAAGTGGAACAGCAAAAAATCCTTTGTGGGACGGGACTTTTCTCTCTTTAGTGATGGGAAATGGAGAGCCCAGAAATGGACTGGCTAACTGAAAGTCTCACGGTGAGCTCTGGGTGTAGCAAGCCCCACTGCCAGACCTCCTCTGTCCCAGGATGGGTCTTCCCTGACACAAGGTCACAAAGTCCATGCAGCGAGTCTCCTGCCTCCAAAGCTGTAAGGTGTTCTTCCCCCAGCCAAAGTGGGGATCCCTCTCTAATGTTTCCCTGCTTGTGTGGTCTGTCCGTGTCTCCCACAGGGTCCCATCGAACAGCCCTGTGCAGAACTGCGCCCTTCTGCTGGAAGGTGCCATCCATGCTTCCAGCTGTGAAATCCCTGCCCTATGGGTCTGCGAGAAATCTCTTCAGTGACCTCTGTGGACCTTGTGTTAGGAAGTGTCCTTTGGAAAGCTGTGCTAATGCTTGATCCCTCTGAAGGTGACTCAGCAAGCTTCTCTGAGAGAGTGCCTGGCTGTGCTCCTTGCTGCTGTGACACCTGCCATAGTGCAAGGATTGAATGTAGCTGCAGCCAAAGCCCTGGCATGAGCAGCCGGAGGTCTGAGTGCTGCTCCTGGCTCCGTTCAGGATCACACTGGTGAGGTTCTTATTCATAGCCATTGGCTAGTGACAGACAGTCTTCAAAGTGGTAGAGAAGGGGCAGGAGAGATTTCTCTATGTCCCTCTCAGTCATTTTCAGAGATACTTGAGCACTGTCACTGGAATGCTGTCCTGGCATCGGAAATCCGAAAGAGAGATGGGATTGTAATCTGTGAGCTCGTGCAAACTCTGGGTTAATTTATCTCTCGTGTGAATATTGGTGTCATACACCAAGGCTGAAAACTAGCCTGAAGTCTGAAGCTGGCCTGCTTTTGCAAGTGGTTGAATCAGATGATATCCAGAGGTCCTTTCTAACCTAAATTCTTCTGTGTTTTTTGTTTGTACCTGGAGAAAACTGGAGCATGACACCCAGTGTTACATTGCTGTGTAACTAGCTGGGAAGGAGTAAACCTGCTACCCTGCTGAGATGAAAATAAATATGGGTTGCTTCTAACAATTTTTTTCAGTGGTGGCTTTTTCTGTTTTCCTCCCCAACATCATTGTTTAGCACATTGGGTGATTGATAAATGGGCAGAAAGTAAGCTAGTGGCAGGAGCAGAGGCAGGAGGGCAGGGGGTGAAACACTTTCTTTGCAATAACACTGCAGAACAGCATCTCCTGTTGCAGAGGACAAGATACAGCTACAGCTATTAAACAGGTTCCTACCCCAGCTCTGCCTGAGGGATTACAGACTGACAAACTTACTTGTGTCAGTAGCCAAGTAAATGCAGCCCCTCATCTTCTAGACCCTTTGTCCTAAGGCCCACCCGTGAAGGTGCCCTCAGTCACGGTTCAAGCGCACCGCACCATACCTTGACTGAGTGGTCTCTTTGCCCCACGCTCCAAGTTTCCTCCAGAGCAGCTCTCCCTGTAAAGAAGTGCCACTATACTCCTCACCCAGCACTTCTTCCCATGGGATTCAGTGGACAGACAGATACAATTCCAATTTTTGTGACAAGTAGGCTATAGTCACCCAAAGTCCTACGCTGTGCAACAACACCTTGACTACCTGACAGGTGACTGTGATGACTTTTTAGTGACACTCTGGTGGTAGTTCATGTTGGTATTTCTTGAAATACTGATGATTTTGTTGTTAGGTTCATGCCCCTAAGCAGCACAAAATACGTGGCCTGACCAGTGCCGAGTAGTGGCAGAAGGATCACCTCCCTCGACCTGCTGGTGACACTCGTCTTAATGCAGCTAAGTATTCAGTATTGACCCCTGGGATACACCACTGATCACTGGCCTCCAACTGGACTTTGTGCCACCTTCTTGGCCTGTCTGTTCAGCCAGTTTTCAAACCGCCTTACTGTCCACTTATTTAACCCCATACTTCATCACCTTTTCTGTGCAGATTTCATGGGAGACATCATCAAAGGTCTTAGTGAAGTCATGACAAATAAAATCCCCAGCTCTCCCTTCATCCATCAAACCAGTCACCTCATTGTAGAAGGTTATCAGGTTGGTTGAGCATGATTTCCCCTCCACAGATCTGTGCTGACTACTCCTGATCCTCTTCTTGTCCTTCCGTGTGTCTGGAAATTGCTCCATCACCTTCCTGGGGCTGATGTGAGGCTGACTGGCCCGCAGTTGCCTGCATCCTCCTTCTTGCCCTTCTTGAAGACAGGAGTGACATTTGCTTTCTTCCAGTCCTCAGGAACATATCCCAGTTGCCATTACCTTTCAAAAATAACCAAGAGTGCCCTTGCAATGACATCAGTAGAAAACGTTATAATATGAGCACTTTAACCCAATATGGAGTCCAGGGCAGCTAGATATGTTTTGAACAAACTGTAAGAAGTTACCAGCCCCAGTACTAATCTACAGGAGTGAGAAACCCAGTGATCTAATAGCGGTTCATGAGATGTCTCCCATAACAAGAGATTTTGACCAATTATTTCAAGGATGAAAAAATTATGTTATTTATATGTAATGACTAATTAGCATTTGCTCTGCTGTAAATGCTTAATGCAGAAATAATGTGTAGTGTATACATTAAATTCAGGTTCAGTAAATACTTATCACCAGGGAGATCTTTGATATTGAACAGCACAGAATGAAACCTAGCATGACAACACAAATCAAATATCAGCTTGCAGTAGGATTTTTGACAACACATGCCCAAGTATCTTCTTACAAGGTGGAGAAATATGCCTCTTTTTCAAGATCTTCGGACACAAACTTGTCAAACAGTCTATGCCAATTAAAGATAACCTATCTTTAAAGCTTGCTAAGATGGAGCTCTAGCTTCTGAATACTGATGACTGGATGAATTGCCCATCGCTCTAGAATAAGTCAAGTTTCTATTACACTCTTTCATCTATGTTCATATTATAGATCATATCAGCACCCCACCCTCCCCAACCAACGATTGCCTTAGAATCACCTACTGGATTAGCAAAAATAGATGTTTTGATCAAATAATTTTTAATGACTAATAAACAACCACCCGTTATTCATTCTGCTGTACTTTGTTTATATTAGGAACAAACGTGTGATTAGAAATCAGAGCAGACTCTCAACCATTGTTCTGTGAAGCTTTCAAAGAAAGCTTCATACCTTTGAAAGTATTTATGAATGATATCAAAGCATTTAGTGCTTTGCCTGCAGAAATTTGTGTAATCAACCTTCTCCTGCTATGTCCACTGGCTGTGTAGTGGAATGGTGAGTGCCAGTTTGGGGAAGCTTATTCCATAAGCACAAAAAAAGTGTAGCTCCAGCATGGCAGCAGGCCAAGGAAAATCCTGCAAAAATTCAGAATATATAACCCGAACATATGAGTCTTTTCTCTACTAATTTGAAAGTCTGAAGGCTGCATCTGCTATTCAAAATTAATACAGCAACATCAGATGTCCCCATGTAAAGAGAACAAAATCCCTACATTGACCTTACAGTTTTAATGAAATAACAAGTTTGTTAACTGTACTCAGAAATCAGTGAGTTAAAAAAGACAGTTTTGTAAAACTGCAGTTTTGTTTCAGGTTACTCATTTTGCTCCAATGCCAATTTGACAGACTGTTTTTCACTCCAGTGCGACTAATGCAGCTGGACACAACCTAACAGCCCAAACGGTGGGAGGTTTCAGTCAGTTTGACAAATCTTGCGTGAGGTTTGCAAGAAAACAGATGGGGTCATTTTGAGTCTTGCAGGTGAGTCCCTCAAAAGCTGTGCAGAGGAAATGTCAGTACTGGATAGCTGTCTTCTCCCTGGACACCCTGGGGGCTGTGATGGTCTCTCAGCTCTCTGCTGTTTAACCCAGCGGGAAGGCAAGGCTGTCCCCAACCTAAGGGGGATGGGATGGTTCCCAGCCAAAAGCCCGTATTCAGCTGCTTCCCGCTGGAGTTGAGCCACTATTGCAGCTGAGGTGCCTCCCTGTAACCAAAACCCTGGGTTTTCTCTCCTAAACTCCATTTGACTTTATTTTAACACTGCTTCATCTTCCAATAATCTTAATTCAGCATTACCATAGGACTGCATCTTTTATTCTAAGATATTTTTCTGCACTCAGCTGCCATCCACAGTCGAAAAAGAAAGCAAATAATTTTCCAAGAAATTCTGACAAAATCCATTTAGATATATATTCAACTTATTTTCTCCAGGATTCAGACATTTCTAGGCACTTTCAAAGATCATAAGGCCCTTACACTGGTGCAGTGTAGCATTGGTATCATTACCATATAAATTATTTCATAAATATAACTCGTATTTCTTTTTCCATACCTCCAGGCTGTGATAGGACCTTTGTAAGACTTATATAAAATCGGTTTTATAAGAATGTGTTTTTATATGGGAGTTTTTCCATTGGTTTCAATGAAGCCAAATTTCCCCTGGAATCTCTTTCCTGAAAATTTTAATGTCTAGGAGCCTTGACAGGCTGCAGCTGATCGTACTGGTAAAAGCAGCAGTAGATCTGGTTTCAGATTTTGAAGTATGGTGCTCTGTGTGGTTCTGTCAGGGAGCTAGGTCCAGGTCAGCATTTAGCAGATGTTTAAGAAGAATGAGTCCTTGTCTCTGTTCAGAGTTCTTCCTCTGCTACAGAATTAGAATATTGCAGGGCTGATACCTTTACAGGTCTTACTGGTTTGCTGGAGATGAGATTTTTCTGAAAAGTTCTAAGGCAGATTTTACATACTGAGGGTTGCTTTTAGTTGAGAATTATTAGTTAAATCAGAGGATCTGGTCTCTGGCCTGGACTCACTATTCACGGTCCTTTCCCTGGGGGATCTAGTCACCAAAAATGAGTCCTGAGATGCAGTTTGTTTCCCCACAAGACTTCAGAAAACTGCTATCATTTCCTTTTCCCTGTAAAGAAGTTAGTGTCTTCAAGAATTAGAAAAGTTTCAGGGATGGCAACACATTCTTGTTCAGAGTACAGTCTGCGACGTGTGAGCAGAAATGGTGAAATCTCTGCAGAGAGTGCCACAGGGGAAATGTGAGGATCATCACATCATAGATGATGATATATGGGACAGTTACCAAGTAGCTATCCCACCATCTAAAGCAGCAACCCAAGGAGGTGAGAATGCCATGCAACACCACCGATCCTGGTGTTCACTGACTTTATGCGGAAGGTGAGGACACACAGACTGTTGGAAGGTGCAACACATCATGTAAGGTTGAGAGTTTAGGCATTGCTAGAGGGTTAAGTGAACATGAGGGGAACCATAACTAGGTTTCTGTATGTCAAAGGGATATTTGTTTGAAAAAGAAGGGCATGGATTACAGGAGAGGAAGGTAAATCATATAGCCGGATGGCAGAGATGGGAGGACAAGAA